TGAGCATGGTGCTGACAACACCAAGCCAAGGGTTGAGATCCCCTTACCGGTCATCTTTTAAAAAAAAAAAAAAAAAAAACCTCCCAACACAGAAAATCCCAGGACCTGATTGGCTTCATTTGTAAATTTGTATTTTTTTTTTAAATTAATACCAATCCTTCTCAAACTCTTCCAAAAACTGAAGAGGAGGGAGCTCTTCCAAACTCATTTTGCAAGGTCATTGTTAACCTGGACCAAAGCCAGACAAGGATACTTTAAGAAAAGAAGTTACAGGTCAATATCCCTGGTGAACATAGATGCAAAAACCCTCAACAAAATGCTTACAAAGCAAATTCAACAGCACATTAAAAGGATTGTACACCATGATTCAGGTGGACTTATCCCTAGGATTCAAGGCTGGTTCAACATACACAAATCAATAAACATGAAACAACACATTAACAGAATAAAGGATAAAAAACACATGATCTTCTCAATAGAAGTAGAAAAAAAAAATCTGACAAAACTTAACATCCTTTAATCATAAAAACTCTCAATAAATTATGAATAAAAGGAATGTATCTCAACATAATAAAGGCCATATATGACAAACCCACAGCTAACATACTCAACACTGAAAAGCTGAAAGCCTTTCCTGTAAAATCAGGGACAAGACAAGGATGCCCACTGTTGTCACTTCTATCTGATATACTACTGGAAGTCCTAGCCAGACGACTAGGAAAGAAAAATAAAAGGCATCCAAATCTGAAAGGAAGAAACAACACTGTGTTTGCAAATGACAGGATTTTACATATAGAAAACCCTAAAGACATTACCAAAAAACTGTTCAAAATAATAAAGGAATTCAGCAAAGTGTCAGGATACAAAATCAACATACAAAAATAGTAGCATTTCTATACACTAACAACAAACTATCCAAAAAAACAAGAAAACAATCACATTTACAATAGTATAAAAAAATAATACTTAGGAAAAACTGAACCTACAAGGTAAAAGATTGTACACTAAAACCATAAAACACTGATGAAAGAACTTGAAGATGACACAAATAAATGGAACAATATCTCATGTTCATGGATCACAAGAATTAATATTCTTAAAATGTGTACACTACCCAAACATTCTACGGATTCAATGCAATCCCTATCAAAATTCCAATGGCATTTTTGACAGAAATAGAAAAAAAATTCTAAAATTCATATGAGTCAAACATGTCCCCCAACAGTTCACGTACTGGAAACTTTATCTCCATTGTAACAGTGTTAAGACTGTGGGAGGGGCTATCCTGTTAGTTCTGTTCATTAGAGCATAGCCTTGTAACACCAAGGTCAAGGGTTTGGTTCCCCATCGTGGCCAGCGGCCAAAAAATAAATAAATAAAATAGTTTTTTAAAAGGTAAAACAAAAAAAATTTTAATAGAGGGTTGGAAAGTCTATTATGGTACTTGAAAGGTGGGACCTTTAGGAGGTGATTAGATTGTGAGAACTACGCCCTCCTGAATAAATTGATACATTCATGGTGCAACAGGCATGGTTCTGATGGCTTTATAAGAAGGGCAAGTGAGAAGGTTAGCTTACTTTTGCTCAGCCCATTCTCACCATGTGACACCCTTGTCTTCACAGGACCCTGTAGAGAGTTCCCACCCAGAAGAAGGCCCTCACCAGATGTGTTCCCTGGACCTTGGATTTCCCAGCCTTCAAAACTGTAAGAAATAAATTTCATTTTTTTTATAAATCACCCAGTTTCAGGTATTCTGTTATAAGCAAGAGAAATAGACTAATACATATGGTAATACAAAAGTCACCAAACAGCCAAGGCAATCTTGAACAAAAACAACAAATCTGGAAGCATACAATACCTGATTTCAAAATATACTACAAAGCTACAGTAATCAAAACAGCATAAGATACTGGCATAAAAAATGACATATAAATAAATGGAACAAAATAGAGAGCCCAGAAATAAACCAATGCATGTACAACACTCAATTGATCTTTGATAAAGGTGCCAATAACACACAATGGGGAAAGAATAGTCTCTTCAATAAATGATGCTGGGAGAACTGAATAACCACATGTAAAACAAAACTGGCCAGTTATCTCCCACCACATACAAAAAAATCAACTCAAAATGGATTAAAGACTTAAACATGGGACCTGAAACTGTTAAACTACTAGAAGAAAACACAGGGAAAAAACTTCTTGACATTGGTCTGAGCAATAGTTTTTTGGCTATGATGCCAAAAGCACAAGCAACAAAAGCAAAAATAGATAAACGGAATTGCATCAAATTACAAAGCTTCTTCACAGCAAAGATAACAATCAACAGAGTGAATAGACAACCCATGGAATGGGAGAAAATGTTGACAAACCATATATCAGATAAGGAGTTATTATCCAAAATATAAAAGAAACTGGAACAACTCAGTAGCAAGAAATCACGTAATCTGATTAAAAGATGGGCACAAAACCTGAATAGAAGACATACATATGGCCAAAGGGTATACTATAGCTTGAATGTGTCCCCCAAAGTATAAAAAAACGTCAACACCATTACTCATCAGGGTAATGCAAATCATAACCACAACGAGATATCAACTCACACCTGTTAGAATGGCCATTAACAAAAAGAAAAGGTAACAAGTTCTGGCAAGGATATGAAGAAAAGGAAACTCTTAAGTATTGTTGGTGGGAATGTAAACTGGTACAGCCATTATGGAAAACAGTATGGAGATTCCTCAAAAAATTAAAACTACAATTACCATATGATTCACCAATCCCACTACTGGATATATACCCAAAGGAAATGAAATCTGTATCTCAAAGAGATATCTGCACTCCCATGTCACGACAGCATTATTCACAACAGCCAAGATATGAAATCAATCTAAGTATCTGTGGATAGATGAATGGATAAAGAAAATGTGATCTATATACACAGTGGAATATTATTCAGCCTTTTAATAAAAAAGGAAATCCTGTGATTTACAATAACATAGATGAACACAGGGGACATTATGCCAAGAGAAATAAGCAAGGCACAGAAAGAAAAATATTGCATGACCTCACTCATATGTGAAAACTAAAGAAGTCAAATTCACAGAAGCAAAGAGTAGAATGGTGGTTGCCAGAGGTGGTGGGGAAATGGAGAGGTGTTGGTCAAAAGGTACAAAGTTTCAATTATGCAGGATGAATAAGTTCTGGAGATCTAATGTACAGCATGGTAACTATAGTTAATAATACTGCACCGTATACTTGAAATTTGCTAAGAGAGTAGATCTTAAATGTTGTCATCCTACAAAGAAAATTATAACTATATGACGTGATGAGTATGTCAATTAGCTTGATTGTGGTAATTAGTTTACAATGTCAATGTCATTTTACATATATCAAAACATCACAGGGCCGGCCCGGTGGCACACTGCTACAGTGCGCCGCTTGGGAGTGCGGTGGCGCTCCCGCCGAGGGTTCGGATCCCACATGCAGACCGGTTCCCGCTCACTGGCTGAGCGAGGTGTGGGAGCAGCGCCGAGGGTTGCGATCCCGTTGCCGGTCCCGGTCCGGTGCGGGCGCGACACTGAGGGTTGCGATCCGTTGCCGGACACGAAAAAAGACAAAAAGGAAAAAAAAAAAAAAAAAAAAAAAACATCACATTGTTCACAGCAAATGTACACAATTTTTATTTGTCAATTACACTTCAATAAAGCTGGGGGAGAAAAGGAGACTATCTCAGAAACAAGAGGACAACCTCAAAACAGAAAAACAAATAGGGTAACATTATACAGGCAGAGGGAAAGAACAGTTACAAACTTCCATTCTTCCATCAAATCTCTCTTAACAACTGACAGCAATCTAAATTTTCCACAACCTGCAATAAGACATAGACATTTTCCATATGTGCAAGCCAATAGTGATGTCTTCTACTTCAATACAATGCAAGACACATTGCAAATTCTTTGTTTTAATGTTCATTTTCTAGAAATATTAATGCATTCAATGAAAGCTATAAGCCCATTTTTTTCCTGAGTATCAGGCCCACTTGGGTCATGGAGGACATAACAAATGACCCACACATAAAAGGTAGCTTCCGTCATCCTTATGGTGATCTGACTGAGAACTTTGCAAAGACTGTCATTAATGAACTCTATATAAAAGAACTCAATTAAACATTATGAACCACTAGTTTAGAAGATTTTTTTTATTCTAAAATTGGCCTAGTTGACATTTTCTTATACTACTAAACACTAATTTGCATACAATCCATCAACTGCACTCTTGGCCATTTATTCCAGAGAAAGGAAAATTTATGCTCATACAATACCTGTTCAGAGCAGCTTTATTTGTAATGACCAAAAGCTGGAAACAGCCCAGATGTCCCCAACAGGTGAATACTTAAACTGTAGTACATACATACCATAGAATCCTACTCAGCAATAGAAAGAAACAAACTACTGACACACACCACTTAGATGACTCTCCAGAGAATTATGCTAAGTGAAAAAAACTAATCCTAAAAGATGGCATATTGTATGATTCCATTTATATAACAGAAATATGGTAAGTGTGGCTACAAAAGGACAACATGAGGGATCTTTGCGGTGATGGAACTGTTTGGTATCTAGATTGTGGTGATAAACAAACAAACCTTTACATGTGATGAAATTGTATACAACTAAATATACACACATGCAAATGGGTGCAAGTAAAATGGGAAATCCAAATAAGATCAGTGGATTATATTAATATGAATATCCTGCTTGTGGTATTGTGCTATAGTTTTAGAAAATGTTACCACTGGAGGAAACTGGGTAAAGAATACACAGGATCTCCCTATATTATGTCTTACAACTGCACTGAATCTACAATTATCTGAATAAAAATTTCAATTAAAAAATATTTTTTTAAAAAGCTTAGCCTAGGAAATCAGTCTCCCTGGAGTCTCAGTTTCTTTCAAACTTTGATTCAAACAGTGTGGCGAGCGGTGGAGTATAAATGACTTACATTTGGGACATCAACTGCTACTTCCCTCATGGCACTGGGTCTGATGTTATTCATTCCCTTCAAGAAATCATTCAGAGTAATCTTCACCAACCCAGCCACCTTGCTATCAGGGAGTTTAGGCTGTTTCTTCAAGACTCTTCGCAAGGCACAGAGACCTGCAAAAAGAAAAGTAACACAAGATTTATCTTTTATTCCATGAATTCATACTGAGCCATCACCAATAAAACTAAGAAAAAACCCAAACCCTGTACATAATATAGCATTTGAAATATTTTGTGCTTGGGTTTGTGTTTTAGGGGTAGGGGATAGGTAGAGAAGGAGATGGAAGAATGTGGAAGACAAAGACAAAAACCCAAGGGCTCAGTTTGGGCAGTATAATATGACAAACTAATGTTAAATATGAGAAGACAGATATTACACAAATATGAAACAGAACTTACAATACAACATCCATAAATAACTGCATTCAACAAACCATAGTACCTAAGAATAAATCTAGAGAACATTATTCAAGATTTCTTCTTCACATAAAACTATAAAACTACCTTGACAAATTAAAGAAGACCTAAAATAAAATGAAGGGATCTACTATGTTCATTGATCTCAAGATGTTAACTTTCCAATTCTCCCCAAATTAATCAAAAAACTTAATTCTAATCAAAATCCAAGCCAGTTTACAGCGGGGTCTGGGAAGCTGATAACTGATTTTAAAAGTTCTATGGAAATGCAAAGAACAAAGAATAGTCAAGAAAATCTTGATGAAGAAAACAAAAGAAGTAATTGCACTTATCCTCTAGAAATTAAGACTCTTTATAAGGCTGAAATTATTAAAGAGAGAAAAGAGAATCCAGAATAAACACAAACTCTTGATATATGAAAACAGTAACAATACAGCAATTTAGAACAGATGATCATTTCAATAACTGGTGCGGGTACAACTGAATATCTGTATGGAAAAAAATGTGAATCAATTATAGATAGAAATGTGAAAGAAAAAACAATCAAGCATCTAGAATATAAGAAAAAATGTTCATGACAGTAGATGGCCAAGATTTCTTAAACAAGATACAAAAATTACTAACCACAAAGGAAAAGACTGATAAACTGAAATCATTATATTAATATAGAATAAATATATATAATTACAAATTTCTGCTCCTCAGAAGACATTACAAAAAGAGTAAAAATACAAGCCACAGAATAGGAGAAGAGGGCCGGCCCGGTGGCGCACTGCTATAGTGCGCCGCTTGGGAAGCGCAGCGGCGCTCCCGCCGAGGGTTCAGATCCCACATACAGGAGCAAAAGCCTCACAACCAAACTATATTAAGAACTCCTACAAATCATTATTTTTTTAAAAGGTAACACTATAGAAAAACTTGGGCCGGCCCGGTGGCGCACTGGAGAGTGCGCCGCTTGGGAGCGCGGCAGCGCTCCCACTGAGGGGTCGGATCCCATGTGGAGACCGGTTCCCGCTCACTGGCTGAGCGCGGTGCGGGCGCGACACTGAGGGTTGCGATCCGTTGCCGGACACCCCGGTGGCGCACTGCTATAGTGCGCCGCTTGGGAGCGCGGCAGCGCTCCCACTGAGGGGTCGGATCCCATGTGGAGACCGGTTCCCGCTCACTGGCTGAGCGCGGTGCGGGCGCGACACTGAGGGTTGCGATCCGTTGCCGGACACCCCGGTGGCGCACTGCTATAGTGCGCCGCTTGGGAGCGCGGCAGCGCTCCCACTGAGGGGTCGGATCCCATGTGGAGACCGGTTCCCGCTCACTGGCTGAGCGCGGTGCGGGCGCGACACTGAGGGTTGCGATCCTGTTACCGGTCAGTAAAAAAGACAAAAAGGAAAAAAAAAAAAAACTGAAGAGATACTGGAACAGGCATTGTTGGAAAAATTCAAAATTAATTCTTTCAGTAGCTTGTTTTGCCTTTAAAACAGAATCTGCTTATTGTATCAGCTTTACTGATAATCAACTGCTCTGCACTCCCACTTCTGTACACTGTGCTTGCTTATCACAATAGCTACATGAATGCTGAGAAACGAAACATATGACTGTACTAGCTACATGAATGCTGAGAAAGCAAAACCTAAAACCTGGAAGAGTTTGTCTATATAAACCCTGTAAGACCTAAACTAGGGACTCAGAGCTTGGAGTGCTAGCCCATCTGCGCCAGCTAGCATAATAAAATACCTGACTCTCCAACCCTCTGAGGGCTGACCGCTTCTTTGTCGAGTCCATTCCATAACAGCATGACACAAAAGAGGATATCAATTCACATATGAAAAAGTACACAATCTCAGTCACCAGGGAGCTAAAACCAGAGTGAAATACTGTTAAAAACTTATCAAATGTTGGCAAGGATGAGAAGCAACTGGAATTTTCAGTTACTGGTGGAAGAATAAATTGATAAAATGACTGCAGAAAACTTTTGGCAGTATTTATTTAAAAGAATCCTATAACCACTCCTAGATACACTCATATTGCAAACATAAATACATACATTTGTGCACCAAAAGACGTGCAACAACATGTACTGCATCGCTATTCATAATATTTATACAATGGAATACAGAAAAAAAGTGCATCACTGCTATGGAGAATAAAATGATGAAGCTCTCAAACCAAAATATGAGTCAAAGAAGAGAGCACAAAACAGGCAAACTGACCTAGTGTTAGAAACCAGGGTAGTGGTTGCCTTTTGGGTAGAGGTAGAGGGTAGTGGCTAGGAGAGGGTGAGGGAGATGTCAGGGAGCTAGTAATGCTCTATATATTGATCTGAGAGTTGGTTACATGAGTGTGTGTTCACTTTGGAAAATTCATGGATCTTACTGTTTATGAGCTTTTATGTATATATGTAACACTTCGAGAAAGAACTTTATTAAAAAATAGATATGTAAGAACTGAGGTAAAAAATAAATAAATAAAACTATAAACAAAGCCACAACACAGTAGCTGGTTAAAATAACACTGTGAGATGGCAGTTTCAGAGATTATAAACTGAAGTTTAAAATGAAATACTATTTCACCTCAAATCTAAGCACCCATATGTATACAATAAAGTTTACTAAAGCATGAACATATTAATTTTTATATAGTGAACTTTTTAATCAGAATAACTAAAACCATGATGATTTAGGAAAAGAAACCCATAAAAAAGGTTTTGGGAACTGTCTATACAGAAACCCTGATCAGTCTTGGAATCATACTAGAATATATTTACTAGGTTGACTAATGTGCAAAATATACTAGTACGAAAAATATGGATTGTATTATTTACAGACCTCACAGAGTTCTCATTTGCCAGAATATTCTATACAAATGGACATGTTTGGTATAGGAAGTGGTGTGAGTAAAGGAAAAAGAAACAGAATTTGAGGAGAGATAACAGCATTCTTTGCATCTATCACTTTGAAAATATTTTAGAAGAACAATTCTGTATCTGTATCACTTGTTAATTCAGTTACAATCTGTATTACAGCAAAGCAATTATTAAAGTATTATTATATCATGAAGTCACTGAGAAGATATATTCATTGGCCATAGGATACTCTTTCATAGGCACTCTTCTTCAATATTAATTCATCTACTCATTCATTCAAAACATTCAGTGAGAATCTCCTAGACATAATTCATTCAGCTAATGTACTGAACTCTTTCCTGCCAGCAAACACAAGAAGGCAGATAAATCTCTCATAGCACTAATAGTATAAAAGGTGAAACACATTATAAGGGGTAATTACTATAAACTGTGCCAAGTACTGTGACATGGAAAGAAGGAAGTGGCCCAAAAACACCTATCTGGGCATCCAACTCAGTTTAGGGAAGGATCAGTGACAACACAGACCCAGACAATTCTTGCTGAAATCATTTAGTACATTCCTTTATTTCACAAATGAAGAGACTAAAACATGTGTCTAGATTCGAACAGTTTGACTTGAAAAATAAGTTGATGTTAACCTGATAAAATAGGAATTGGGGCCAGATATGCAGAATATTCTAGGCAGAGGGAATAGCATACAAAAAGGCTTAGGGACAAGAATGAGCATAGCACTTTAAATTGTGAAGCCCTGTAGAATAAAAGACAAAATCCCTGTCCTCAAAGAGTTCAGTCTTATATGTATGAAAGAACACATTTTAAATAAACCTAAATCCAACTCTATTACTTTCTATGTAGATATGTGAGAAGATAAAGTATGGCAGATTGTCTGAAGGGAAAAAAAAAATATGGAAGTTTCCTGATTTGTAAAAGCTATAAAAACACAATGACAGATCCTGCCATAGGCCTTAAGATTCTTTCCCACTCTGAAGTACTATACTATGATTCTAGACTCTACAGAAATGCACCCTCTTTTACACAACAAATGCTATTCTTGAAAATAATGTGTAAGTTGAAAAACAGAATTTATATTAAATGTTAAATATATTATCAGAGCTTGCAAAAATTAAAGATCCCTGGAGCTATCACATTAATATAATCAATCTTCCATGTGTCTATGTCTGCCACTAACTCAGGAGTGACTAAATAAATCTTAGCTCTTTTGGCCATTAGTTATTTCATTTACTAAACAAAAAGTTTAAAATATATTTTCCTAATTATTTAAATTTAAATAATTTAAAATTCTAAAATGCTAAGTTTAAATTATTGGCTATCAACCATTCCTAATGAAGCCATATGGGAATCTATGCCAAGAGATTAAATTTTTAAAAACACACTTTTTAGAAACCAGAAGACAATTAACTAAAGAAGCAAAGGACACATGTACATCATCAAGGAATATAGCTTAGAGCAAGCAATCTATGATATTTCCTTTTCTTATCGAGTTTGAAGTTAACTTTTTAAAATGTAAACAAATACAGAAGCAATACTTCTATGTTCTTAAGAAACATAACTTTGAAAACAAAAAACAGGTGTAGCTAATTAAACAATAAATGTGTCATTTTGTTTTCGTTATTTTATTTTCCAATCCTCTCAAAATTTTTGAGAATGGAAAACAAGACACAATGAAGAGAAGAAAAGGCAAAATGCCTCAGGCAAGTCTAAATGTCAACACATTCTTTCCAGTGTATGACTTGTCTGCACTCAAGCTCCACTTCTGGATGAGGGCAATTATTCTGAATTCATGCTCTTCCAAACAATCTGCTTCAGAAGCAATCAA